AAAACTGTCGTTGAGTCCCATAAGGAATTGATACACCTTGTCAGTCTCTTGAATTTCAACGAGGGATTTAGAGGCCCTGCATGTACATGGATTCATTTGCTGTAAGGAGGCTAGTTCATTCCATAACTCCTTCAATTTTCCATAGTATGTTGTGATGGATTGTTGTTCTTGGTGAAAATTGGCTAAATCCCTTTTCAATTGGAAGATCTTTGTACCATTGCTTTGTTGAAAACGAGTTTCTAACTCGACCCACAAATCGTTTGGTGTGGCACAGTAAAGAAGGTTGCCTGTAAGTGATCGATCAATTGAATGTAGAAGCCTTGACATTATCATGTCACAGCACCAGTCCCAAAGTTGTGCTGCGGTATCATCAACAGGATGTTTGATGGTGCCGAGGACAAAGCCTAATTTGTTCTTGGCATTCAAGGCACGAGTGATTGCTCGATGCCAAGCCGGGTAGTTGTCGCCGTTAAGAGGTGTGTTGACAAGAATTTGGTTTAGTTGGTCTGATGCGGCATATAGTATGGAGAAGAAGCATCTGTAAGGGATTTGTTGGCATCCAAGATAAGGGCAGAAACTGATTTGGCCATGGCAAATGCAAAGGTATGAATTTGAAACCTAACCTTGCTCTGATACCATGTTAATTTTCATATGGAATGAAGCAATTTTCATTAATAGAGCAAACGTTACATTGGTGAATATATTACATTCATAATCTGCTATATATGGAAAATATTAATCTAGGACAATACGGTCTATAAGGAAATTAGAATCCCTGTAATTATGCTTAATACTTAGATCGCCTCTTTGCAACCTAAATTCAACCTACACGTTGAACATTCCGTTAGGAGGCAAAGGTCTCCGACCGAAGGAAAATGTTCAATAATTATTTGTACTTCGATGGTCAAGTCACTGCTGGAATAATATATATAGAGTGCAAGGGAAAATAAGGTAAGGGAAGTGCCTAGAGGAAGTGAAATCTTAATTCAAATGTGGAGTTATTTTGTCTATTTTTTGAAGATGAAGTGGGCCAAGGTGGGCTTGGTAAAATGAACCAAGCCCAAGCCAAGATAAGCTTAGTTATTTCAATTGATCCAATCCCTTTGACATAATTAACTAATATCAAGTCACCCAACGTGAGACCATCGATCACATGCAAGTTTAGTGACGGATTCAGAAATTATTCGACACGGGCTGACACGTCAAAAAAAACAAAAAAATCACACACACACACAAGTATAATATATATATTTTTTATACTCAAATCTTTCTTTTTAATTAACATTTGGGCTGGAGGGACGGACTCTAGCACAGCCTCACCCGTCCCTAAATCTGCCATTGCATGCAAGTTAGGCAAGTTTTTGGCATCAACACAGTACTTAAAAGAGAGCAGAAGGGGAAAAGAGAGAGAGAGAGAGAGAGTTTGAAATCTTATTTGTTTGTCATTATTTTGCTGATTTTTGTGTTCTCCGCACTGTTTTCTTAATTTTTTTTTCGTTGTAAAGCAAAATGAGAGTAGTTTGTTCAATGACTTACAATGAATCAAATAAGTAATGAATTAGAGTTTGAATTGCTGTCACCCCGATTTTTGTTTTTGTCCACCACAATATGAAAACACACAAATTGAAAAATATTTTTGATAAGCGCACCACATTTATTTTACAAATTTAATCCTAGTCTAGTTAGAAAAAGAAAAGAAAAGAAAAGAAAAGAAAAGGAAAGAACAACAAGAAGAGGAAAAATTTGTACCCCAGTCATTCCCTTGCCAAGTATTACCCTCCATTGTCATTCCCTTAATCTGCTTACTCTCCTCCACCAATGTAGGCGCCACCATCCCCAAAATTATTTATTGCGAATCAGCAATTTCCCTTGTACAGAGGAATTGCTGCCAGGATTTTTCCACAGCACCATTCGTTTGATCTTCTTTGTTTCTTTTCTTTTTTTTTTTTTTTTTTTTTTTTTTTTTTTTGCCATTTTCTATTGCACTGGGCCCCGCATGGTGCCGACCAATGTGAGGAGTCTGTAATTCCTCTGTACACATGGATTTATTCTTTAAAAAGTAATGTACTTGTACCTCTTAACTACGAATGAATATTTATTATAGGTGAGAATCCATGTTGAATTAGGTTAGGATGTTGTAACCATAAGTCATACACGTTGCTTCCCCGTGGATGGTAAGAATATATAATATAGTTTTCTTGTACGATAAATTCATTCAATATATGCACCTACCATCCTCATCATGGTAAAATTTATCAAAGTAAGGTGCTCCACTTATGGAACTCTATCAAGGTTTACCTAGCACATCATAGGACTACGCGAGGTTTGGCGAGGGCAAAACTTGGTCACATCGCCATCCATGCAAAAATCATATCGTATCACGTGAAACTACAAGGGGCAAGGTCAATAGGCCACATTGCCTTGCCGTAATTAGGCAAATAGCGTGAAAAATATCAACCATACTAGCGTAACTAGAATGATTTATGTTGATACTAGTGCTTAACATGTTTAAAGTTTAACGAAACGCAACAATTGACACAAAATTGGTTAATTAAAAAAAAAATACTGTTAGCCGAATGAGATTTTGAAACAATAAAACTACTTAGTCATGTTTAAAAATAGAGAGTGTAGAGATAGACTAATGTGTCAGAAAATGATTGAATGTTTTTGTTTTAATTTTTCAAACTGTCTAATCATGCGTTAACACGTATCACATCTGGATTTGAGCCTAAATTTGAGCATGAATTTATAACATGATTGATATTGAAAACCATGTCAAGATCCCGTTTCCATTTTCTTCATGTCTTGAGAGGTTGAAAATGTTATTTCGAAAGGGGAAAAAAGCCAAAACCTCTTAATAACCCGAAATTACATATTTAAATGTTAGAAAATTCACATTTCAATTTTCATAAATAAGAACAGTATGAATTAAATATAAGTTAGTGTACGATGGTCAAGTTTTGAAGGAAGCATTGCACCTAGGCGCGACAAAAATAATAAAATTGCTGGTTAAAATTTTTGTTTGGGATGCTATAATCGAAAATTAAATTAGAACTAAACAAATTGTGAATTTCAATACGATCAGAATTATTATCCAATTAATTTTAGTTCAATTTTGATTTTTATTCGATCTAATAATTCTGCTAACTTCTCTACTATTGAACGTCTACAATTTTTTATTTTATTTTATTTATTTATTTTTGAAAAAGGTGGAACTCAGAAAATGCAATTAGAACCGCGTCAGTACGCGGAAAGGAAACGATACAGAAATCAATGAATCGGTGGGCGAATAAAACAGTATTGTAAAAAAAATCTCTCCCCTAATTATATTCTAATTCCTTGTCCCACCGCTACTACAATCTCGACTTGCCATCTTCCTCCACAATCCCCACTCGCACACCCCCACCAAATCTCCCTTTTCTTTCTACTTCTGGATTTCTCTGTCAATTCAAGAATTATAGGGCTTGGTTTTCGTTAGATCTGTCAATTTAATTGCCCAATTTTGAGTTTTTTCGTTTAATTTTTTAATTTTATTTTCTGGGATCCGTTGCTTTCGTGTTTGTTGAATTCATTAGGGTCTCATTATTTTGAGTGTGATCTGGGTTTCAATTTGTTGAAATTCTGGGAAAATAAATTATTTCTGAGGCCGAAAGTTAGGGTTTTATGCAAAGTCAATTATTATGTTTTGGGGTTGGATTATGTTTTTTTGTTTGATTAAGAGTTAGGTTAGGGTTTTGTTTGAAGATATAGCGTTGAGGAGAGATGGTGGGATCGGATGGCTTGAATGTTTCGCCTTCCCCGTCGCAGCAGATGGAAAAGCAGTTGCCGAATCAGTGGGGAGTGACGAAACCTTTGTCGCGAGCGGGACCCTTGGAGTTGGATATTCAGAGAAGCAAGGAGTTGGAGAAGGTTTGGATTTTGAATTTTTGTTTAGTTTATCGTTTTGAAATTGAAATTTCTGTTTCGTTTGGGATTCTGATATGTTGTGTTTGGTGGATTTTAGTTTTTGGTGGATGCGGGACTATATGAAAGTGCAGAAGAAGCTGCAAAGAGAGAAGAGGTTCTGTGTCGACTAAAACAGGTGTGTTAGTTCATGAGACCGCGATGCTTTTGTTTGTGTTCGAACTTACATATTGTCAATGAGGGACTGCAATTGTAATTTATCAGTATTCAATACATAAATAATTGGACCGGAGATGATTTAATTAATAAGAAGGGGGAAAATAATTCTACTTAAAAAACGGTATACTAGTCTGAATTACTGGTTAGCAGAATAGTAGGCAACCTAGCAGTTTTGATGAAAATGGGTGGGTCAAAACGGGTGATCGATGATCTAGACGTATCCACTCATTCATAAATGGTTAAGAGCTTATAAGATCTTGTTTCAAGCTTAACCAAGCAGACTTAAGCCGTTTGAGACAGTAATGGATGACTAACACATAGAAACTACCTATTTTAGCATGATTTAACAGGTCTGAAAATGAACAAGGAGTCTTCTAGTTGAGTGTGTCAATTCAAAGAAAGGCGAAACTTCTATTGAACTATTCAAGGGCTTTTACACCAAACTCTTGTGGCCATTTTGATCATGGAAATTGCGTGCGATGCCAAGCATAAGTTGAATTCTGACATCTTGAATTCATTTGTGATTTGGCAAAGATTCTCAAACTTGAGCTAAATAATTTTTTTTCCAGTAGTAATAGTTTATATGTTACTGTCTGACTTAATAATGAATGTGTGTAGTCTACATGACAAATACATATTGTTGGTGTCTGATCTTAAGTTGCCTCCTCGGACCAAGTGTGGACCCAGTCCAAAGTAATTAAAAAAGCTTAACTGTCAGAAAAGCCATGCATTTGAGGTAGGATTACAGGGGCCTTGCCTTGTCAAGGTGGCCAACACTGCTGCCATTTGCAGATATCATTATGAGTAAATTGGACGAATGTTTCCCACTAACACCGCCATTTCCACCAATCATAAGGAAGTAATTGTCTAGGTTGCAGACAATGAAGACCTAGGATGCAGGCTATGATTTAGGTGTCATGATGGTCTGTCCTCGTCGAATTCTCGCACTAAACTAATGGAAATATCGCTAATAGGCAACAACACACATCTAGAAAACGGACATGGTAGCTCGACAAGACTGAGGGCGGCAGGCTCCTGTCCTAAGGGCTATATAAGGAAGCAAAAGCTTCCGAAAGGGAGGCTGAGCAAAACATTCTGTGTTTAATACATTATCAAAGATCACTCAATGAAAATCATCCGTTCTTGACTATATTCCAGCAATTAAACACAATTATTTTATCAAAATTCCATTAAGTTGATTTAAAATTGCCACGTAAGTTTTAGTCATCAAAACATATCGATGTTTTTATGTTTTGTCATATTCATATTAACTTACATTCTTGGATCTGGACGATATTTATACTGGATTGTCGTTTGCATTTAGATTGTAAAAGACTGGGTGAAAGAACTTACGCGCGTGAGGGGGTACACCGATCAAATGGTGGAAGATGCTAATGCTGTTATCTATACTTTTGGTTCATACCGACTTGGGGTAAGGAGCTCCTAAGTCTACATTAGTGTTACAATCTTTTTGTTGGATTATTATGCTAGTTTCTTATCTGTTTTTTTAGTTTAAATTCGAGGTAAAATGATTACTTAGGTTACATTAAGTTGCTATGTCGAGTTCTAATTTTCACTGTGTTTTCATGTTCGTATAGTTAATCAAAAGAAACGAGTTCGTTTTGCTGTATAATTTTCGAAAAAGATTAGAGTAGTTGTTGTTCTCGTTGTATTTACAGCATGTTTGGGAGTGATTTTTTCTCAAAAAATTAATTTTTTGACCGTTATTTCACTATTTCTATCGTCATATTTGATTTCTTCTCTCACAGGTGGACCTCATTTTTTCTCCTAACGGTCAAAAAATCAATTCTCAAAATCACTCCCAAACAGGTTCTTAATATCTATGCTTATTGTAGAGGTGGTGGTGGATTACTAGACCTTGAAAAATTTCTGAGGCCATGTATGAAAGGGTGGACTTGTTGGGTTGTGTTCGGAGATTTAATTTAGTTTTTTGCTGTTTATTTGTATAGCAGCAATTGCTGATTGTGCTTTCCTTGAAGTATAAGCTTCTTGTGAAGTGTCTTTGATTCTTTGTTGCTCCCATTAAATTTTCTGTTGACATCTTATCTGCGGACAGATTTATGCCATTTTATCTGCACATAGGTTGCTCTAAATGATTGGTTCAATTGTATCTTCTCTTTTTGGTTTTTCACGCTATAGAAATGAATGTAGGTAATCGTGTGCTCAATGGCAACTTTTCCTCTCTCTCTCCGTGTGCATCTCTCTGTGTGGTACTGAATTTGGATTCCTCGTGTCAGATGCCATTTATCTTTTTAGAAATTTCTTGTAACTATTACGTTTGTTTGTTTTGAAGGTACATGGCCCTGGAGCTGACATAGACACCTTGTGTGTTGGGCCATCTTATGTGAATCGGGAGGTAATTTGTGATTTCTTTATTCCATTTCGGAACTGGTCTGTGTAGTTTAAAAATGTACCGATGTGGAACTTTTCTTTGCCAGGAAGATTTCTTCTATGTACTCCACAATATTTTAGCCGAAATGGAAGAGGTTACAGAACTCCAACCAGTACCTGATGCTCATGTTCCTGTTATGAAATTTAAATTTGATGGAATATCAATAGATCTTCTTTATGCAAGCATTTCTCTTTTGGTCGTCCCTGATGTAAGTTTTCCTTTGAACTCTATAGTTAGATTTCCATTTTACAATTTTTGGCCTCATAATAGTTTAGTTTCTTGCAGACTACTTGAATTTCATCGATAATGGATGCGTTGTTTGTTGTGAAACTTCCTTTTTTCTTTCTTCCTTGTCTTCTTATTAAAACAAGGCAATGCAAAGCATACTTTCTTTCCCCCTTTCCTTTTCATCCAGATTCCTTCCCTTTCTTCCTTCCTATATGTAGTGTTATCTTTTTCCTCTTACTGCATATATATATTAAATTTAATTATGCTTTATGGAGACTGGTTTTTAACTTGTTAGACTTTGATGAATCAATCTTGCTCCTCTCAATAACTTATGTGACCTTGAGTATGTTTGTGTGTTCATCTGTAACTTATGCTATGTTTTTAATTGTATTTCCTCTTTTACATGTCGTGCCTGCTTCTTGTTTTTCTTCCTTTCTATTACAGCTGGTGAGGTTTCATGGTCATGACTCTAAACTTGCATACATTTTTTGTGTTTAAAAACTGTATTGTCCAACTCTTGCCACATTGTTTGTGTATCAAATTTTACATTATTTAACCCTAACGTAAAGGTCAAGTAGGCCGTCATAATATGGTACTTGGATTTGATTTGATTTGATTGGAGGGAAGAAGATGGATAGATAAGTAGGCATACACACACAAGGGGTCAATATCCACCTATAATTTTTGTTGTATATTGATCATGAGTATCCATGTCTTTGTTACACTAGTTTTTCTTATGGCTGATGTAGTGAAATACACATGAACCCTACATTAAAATTGAATAGGTATGAGAGGTTTTGTATTCAGCTCTTACTGCATCATAACGAAGTTCCATATTTTATGTAATTCTATATTAGAGAACCATGCTTTGCACCTGTATATAATCAATATAGGGAAGATGTATAGTAGTATATTGCATTTAGTTGAACAGAATATCAACTTTGGTAGTGCTATATTTATTTCTAACTAAATTCACTGATTTGCAATTTTAAACATGATTTACATTGCATGTGGCAATTTTTAAGTGTTGTTGTACTTGATCACAAATTTATGGGCAGGATTTGGATATCTCCAATATGTCTGTTTTACATGAAATTGATGAGCCAACTGTGCGGAGTCTTAATGGCTGTCGGGTTGCAGACCAAATTCTTAAGCTTGTTCCAAATATTGAGGTGAACATATGCTTACATGGTCGACAGTAGTTTAATTTTGCCTGTACTTAAGCAAGTTGATTTGAAATTTTAATGCCTAATTATCTTATAATTTCTTTTAGCATTTCTGTACAACTCTGCGATGTCTAAAGTTTTGGGCTAAGAGACGTGGTGTTTATTCAAATGTAAGTTCCCTTGTGTTTTAGAACGTCTCTCCCTTTTTTTCTCCATTTGCTCTGATTTCCGATATTTACTGTTTGTTGTCAATAATTTTGTTTTTTAGGTGACCGGATTTCTTGGTGGTGTCAATTGGGCCCTTCTTGTTGCTCGGGTTTGCCAATTTTATCCCAATGCAAATCCCAGTATGCTAGTGTCTCGCTTTTTCAGAGTTTATACACTATGGCGTTGGCCAAATCCTGTGATGCTTTGTGAAATAGAAGATGATGAACTTGGATTTTCTGTATGGGATCCACGTAAAAACCCTTGGGACCGCAGTCACCAAATGCCGATTATAACACCTGCGTACCCATGCATGAATTCTAGCTACAATGTTTCAACAAGTACTCTCCGTGTTATGATGGAGCAATTCCAATTTGGTAATAAGATTTGCGAGGTCCGTAAACAAAGTCTAAAGCTGTTTGTTTGTGCAGTATCATACTAGTATAGCTAGCTACAATTGTGCTTTCTTGTACATATGCAGGATATTGAGCTGAACAAAGCTGAATGGAAAGCATTGTTTGAGCCTTACCTGTTTTTTGAAAGCTACAAGAACTATCTGCAAGTTGATATCATTGCTGCTGATTCTGATGACCTGCGTGCTTGGAAAGGCTGGGTTGAATCTCGTTTGAGGCAGCTGACTTTGATGGTAATATCTATTTTTCTGGACTATCCATTGTGATGGGGGGTTTTGGTGATGTTTATACCGGACTTAACCTAAAGATAAAGATGTAGCAGATTTTCTTTCATATTTATGCTTTTTATCCGATAATTGCAGATAGAGCGGGATACCTATGGGAAATTACAGTGCCACCCTTATCCTCATGATTACGTTGATCATTCGAAGCAGTGTGCTCATTGTGCCTTTTTCATGGGCTTGCAACGGAAACAAGGAGAAGTTATTCAGGAAGGTCAGCAATTTGATATTCGCCAGACTGTTGACGAATTCAGGCACCAAATAAATATGTACATGTACTGGAAACCTGGAATGGAAATATACGTTTCTCATGTTCGTAGGAAGCAGATCCCAGCCTATGTGTTTCCTGAGGGTTATAAACGATGCCGACATCCTAGGCCCATGAGCCAACAGCAGCTTGACAAGGCATCTAGTGAGGATGGTGAGGCTTGCAGGACTGGATCTGCCGAGAGACGCCTTAAAAGGAAAAAGGAGCTCGAAGAGATGGAGATGAAGCGCGAGAGTCTGGAAAAAAGACAATCTATTAGCCCTCAGATGCGAGATTCAGCCTCCCCCGACCTTCTTTGTTTAAGAAGTGCTAATGCATTGAAAGGGTATTCCCTGATTGAATCTGAGACTATTAAAGAAGGGCCTGAATCATGTCAGCCTATTGGTGGAATCAGTCCACAAGTCATCCCATGCTCTGGATCTAGTGGGGGCAAGATGCAACATCATGAGCAGGATGCGGAGGTCAATACAAATATCACCATATCAAACGAGGGAATGCACAATGCAGAAACTTTCGATGCTGGGTGCCTTCCTAATGTGAATAATGGTGGCAACCCAGAAATCAACGATCAAGGGTTCTTACAGGGTGATATACGTGAGGCTAAGTCAAAGCTCCTTTTGGATGGTGGGCGCGAAAATGTTGCTGGTGTTTTTGAAGACGGATTAAGGGAGGAGTTAGAGGTTTTGGATTTAAGTTGTCTTTGCCCCTTACCTAGTCTATTCATTCATCATTTCAAATATCCTTTATTTAACTCTCTTCAATATTTAGGTTGACAGAGAATGTTGCGACATTTTTCTGATCCTATGATCCTTGAGCATGGTCATATTAGCTTAGGATTAGGTTTTTTACTTGCATCACATTGATTTAAATATTTTGCGCTACTTCTGTTTCTATGAAGGCTAATGGGCAGCATGGGATGGTGCTGAACTCTGGAGATGTAGTCGGTTCAGAACCTGTTCAGAAGACGGTGATGAGGCATGTTGATAGAAATTCGAAACTTTTGTATATTTTATTAATGTCGGCATACTATTTTTGTCTTTATGCTGCTTTCTCTTGTTCTTTTTGCTGTTTCTATAGCAGGCTGGGTCTTACATCAAGTGCCTGAAGATTACAGGTCAATCCATGAAACTGTGAAATAAATGCTGAGTTAAATGAGACAGAAAGCCAGCAACTCGGGTAAGTAATATGTTCATTGCTGGCTTTCATTTTTTTTCTGATTTTTCCAGGCAGAGGTCTGGATTTTCAATCTTCGAAGACAGGAAATTAAAGATCAATAATCTGAAGAGCTCCCATGGTTGCTTGAATGCCTTGTATATAGTCTATAGCTTTCTCTAGGCATGCTGTGGTGCCAAAGTTGTTCAGCTTTTATGCTCCTAAAAGAGACTGGGGACTGTATTACATTATTTAGGTTTGGTGGGTGTTGTGGGAGTATTTTAAACTGATGGGATGGAATTCTGTTTGTGAAGACATAGTGGATAAAGATGTTTTGGGGTGTAAGTGTTCGTTGGTTTAACGAGAGGTTTTAACTTGGGTTTCTTGTACTTTACCTAGACTTAAAAACTTTGTACATTGCTAGCCTGTAATGACATTTCGTCCCTCTTTGTGCATGCGCTCAATGCAATGAATGGTCGAACTCTGTGTGGGCAGATTCTAACAATTGTTATATGTTACGGCTCATGTTTTCTTTGGACATGTTTAAGTATGATTGTAACGTGTATGAAATATTTTATTATTTCTTATTAAATGTACATTGCTTGAGGATTCATTAGTGTAAAATAAGTTTTTCATTATTCAGATATGGCCACGACCATGTAAATTTATCATGTACAATTGTTGATTGCTTATCGTTCTTAATGAAGTCATGTTCGGTTACATGAACTTGTATTTTCATTCTGCGACTAATCAATCCATGGATTTTTTATGGGAAATCATGATTCGAAATTATGATTTTCTTAGCTATATAATAGAAAGGCGCCGGCCAATTTAATAGAAAGGTTATGGTGGAAGTATTTTTACATCGTTGGGTGGATAAATCACTCTAATTTTGTTTTGCCTAACCTCAATGGACCGACGGGTCTATGACGAGGAGCTGCAATGGGATTGGATTTGGACCTCTCCTTTACGAGCCTCCATCCTCTACCGTGTTGTGCGGACACTATAATTTTCTTCGACGACGGGCTCAAAACCAATTCTTGAACGAAGAATCAAAATGAGTCTAGTGGAGAAAAAAATGGTTAATTCATTATGAGAGAACTTTCTGTTCAGTTATAGTTCTTGTTTGATCCCCATTAAATTAAATTACATTACATTTCAATTTTCTCTTTTTTATTTTCAACCACACAATCTTCCATAAAATAATATTACACGTAAATCGAAAACTTTTCCTTATTTTTCAACTAAACATTTTTCTAAAAAATACTATTCTTCCCATTTTTATTTTCAAGTAATATGGATCAAACAGGAGCATAATGGTCCAACCTAATTTTCTCGTTAATTTATAGAATCTTCAATTTAATTATGCCTGTCTTCAGATTCATAATTTAAAAAAAGAAAAGAAAGGAAAACTTCCAATATTGTACATACGGAAGAGAGAAAATTCCTTTTCACAAAAACAATAGAATTCAAAGAAAAATGCAATACTGTTTATGTCAAACATTTCGTTCTGAAATCCGCATTTGATTTCCATCCTTTTTCTCATTTATCTAATTTGACTCCTTCAACCAAAAAAATGTTCTCTCTCCTCTCTCACTCTCTCTAATTTCATTCCTCTGTTCGGTTCTGAACCCATCAGAAAGACATTTACTGGGTGCACTTGAGAGAAGGGAAAAATTAAAGGAAAATTAACAATGAAGGAGGGAATGGGGAAGGTGGCGGCAGCGGATGAAGTGCTCCGGGAGGTGGGCAGGGGCCATGGCTATTGTGAAAGATTTTGAAGAGAAATGTGGGACTCCCGATATCAGGCTTAAGCAGGTGGCCGACGCCATGGCGGTGGAAATGCATGCCGGGCGGGAGCAAGCTGAATATGCTCATTAGCTATGTGGATAATCTCCCAACATGGTACATACTGCATTTTATGATCACCTTGTTTATATGGATAGATTGTGTGAAATAGAGTAAATTTTGTGTGTGCTCTAGAAGTAGGAAACAGATCTATGTTACGCCGGGTTTGGTAATAAGGATTGGATAGAATCCCATACTGTTCAGTCCTGTTGATCACAAGTACTAAACATGCATTTAGAGTATGAGGATGTGTAATCGTACTAAAATGGATATGATAAGAAATGAAATGTGCAATTCCAAAGTGGCACGGTCCTCTGACTAAATCTGGTGAAAAAATTAGCAAAATTTTCAGTACTTGATGATAAAATCAACTATTTTTCCTTTAAAGAAGAAGTCAGGACAATGTGTCAATATTGAAGTAAATCTTTCATAATGCAGATGTAGAGAAAATATTGATTCTTGATTCGGTTATTAAACTCATTAGTTGGATTAGTTAGTGAGTTAGAAAATCAGTTAGGAGCCTTTGGTTCTAACTAATTTTCTGGTAGTTGTTGTAACTGAATATTAGATGTATTTTCTTGTAAATCTCTACATTCCTTTATCCGTAAATAGGATAGAGGGCTATATACGTGAAGTGTGAGCAAGAGGGGGATATCTGTAGATAGAGAAAGTAAGGTAGTGTGAGATAGAATTCTCTGTAACACAAGTCCTTGTAAACTTTCTGGTTATTCCCGGTTGGGTGGTGAGTGGTGGTGTTTTGGGTAAGATAAACACTATGTAATATTCTTCTTGAATGGCAGATTGACTGGGGGTTAAATTCCCTGCATTGGTTGATGAAATTTAGTCCCTAAAACAAGCTATTCTTGTGTCCATTTATCTGAGTTCTTTGCTGGTTTTATATTCTGCCATTTCTGCTGCATTTTCTCTCCTGCCTGTCATGCAAATCTGTGAAGATCATTGTTTCCTGGGACATAGGAGATTGGTAAAAATCCTAATAGCAGTTTACCAATATGGAATGGGGTAACTTTAGGTCATTGACGGAGCATTACCATTCAATGGATCTCAAAATTTTAAATCCTGGTGAACAGGTGACTAATCTTTAATTCTTGTTACAGATATTTGAGAAGATAACTTCTGGCATGTAATTTGAGAGAAATTCTGCGGGGAGTTCTACTCAAGATAGCTGAAGAAGCTGCATTTTGTGGGGACGAAATTCCTGCAAAACTTAAATTTTCATTTGTATTGAGGTATTCCCTGAAGACCATTGATTTTTATTAAGCTAATTGCCTTGCTCTTATTTTATAAACGGATGTCTGTTTAACTGCATTGATCCTTATCCATTACTTCCTTCTTCATATTAATTTTCCACTTGTAGCTTTTCTGAGTTTATTTTCTACACTTTTATATTCCATATGGAGTCGATACTTGGGAATAAAAGTTAAATTCTGAGCTAGAAAATATGGAGGACGCCTGATTTTTTGGGTAAGATCCATTGATGTTTCTTGATTGCTTCTTCTATTCATTGTTAGATATTCAGTTTCATGTCGTGTTATAGAATGTCTTTCGTTACAATTACATCTCCTTCCCTTTCAGATATCTAACACTTCCCTCAAAAATAGGAAAATCTTAGTCAAGCTCTGCAATAGTGTTGTCACATGTGGGGCTCGACTTGCTGCTGCTGGAGTATTGGGTGTTTTAAAGAAAATGGGACGGGATTCTATTAGTGAGGGCAACAGGGCAGGTTTGGGGCAGGGCGCAAAGGCGGGGCGGGGCGGGGTTTGTTGCCCCGTTTAATTTTTTAAATTTTTTTTACGTTTTCAAAGTTTCGAACTATGTTATTATTAGAGAATAACATACAGATTCAAAATGAATTTTTAACGGATGAATTGTTTAGAAATAAAATTATTTTTATTTTTTTTCATAGGCTTGGGTCCCCATTGGGGGTAGGGCCCCGTCGGGACGGGATGGGGCAAGTTTTTTTGCCATCCCTAGATTCTATGAAGGAGCCAGAGAAAACAGTCATAGTCGTGGACGGTGGATTGTGTGAACACTACTAGGAGTATATAAATTAGAAGGTGCTTGGATAATACATTGTGTGAGCTAGTCAGAGAAGAGACTACATCAAGCATTGTGGTCGAGCACTCCAATGATGGTTCGGGCATTGGCGCTATACTCCTTGCAACCACTCACTCATTTTGCCTCGAAGACAAGTCTTGAAAGTAAGAAAAAAGTAACTTATCTTGGGATTACCTGCTATTCAATGCTATTCTTTTTGTCTGACTGTAGTTTCAAGTATTTTTCTACTCAAGCCATTATGATATGCCCAAATTTCATAGTTTAGGATTGATACAACATTAAATGTAAATGTGATAACCTAGGAGCTACCTCGGGTTGGAAGGAAATACTTTGTAGCATTGCCTTATGCGGTGCAACCGTCGAATGAGAAGCTGTTCTCTCATCAGGTGGCCTACCTTCACCCAATGAGGTGAGGCCACTTCGGGACTTGAGATGGAAAGAGAGCAAATCAAGTCTCGAAGTGGTCTCATCTGATTGGAGGAGGGTGAGGCCACCCAATGAGGTGGTTAATCCTTATTCAACGGTAACATCTCGTAGAACGATGCAACATTCCTATCAAAATATTTCTGGTTAGATGCCAATTTCGCCTTCTAAAATTTTACTCCTACAACCACGTTGGTGACAATAAATTTGATAATTGAACAATATTACATGATTTCTAACTTGTGCTTGTCTTAGTTTGGGGGTCCTCACTTTTAAGACAGTCGAATGTGTTGAACGAGTTAAGACTACGTCGTACCTCTAGACCAAGATTCAGGAAATCCTGGATACGAGAAAACAGCTATATACACCATAAAATATACTGTTGATTGGCAGTGTATATACAAGAAAACTTGTGCAACCACACATTCAACCTATTTTCTCCACACGAAGAAAAGGTTGAAAACTTCAGGGAAAATAAAAGTCCCGCGTTCTCAGAAATGCAATTACAATGTAGTTCAAATATTACTACAGGTAACCAATTTACTTGGTTTAACATAGAAATTGTTTCGAGAAGTTCAGAATAAACACAAAACAGTCTCCTAAAATCATTATATAGTGCTCGGTTTCTCATCCGTTGTTCTGTATCATTTTGTGAAGTATCAAGAGAGCTTCTCGTGTTTCCTCCCACCTGCAAAGAACAATGATCTTATTTTATTAGAACTATTTATGTCGTAGTGACATGTTTGGTAAGAACATAATTGGATTAAGGGAAAAAAAGCTAATATCTTGTCTATTGTATCGTCAAGTACTGTCAAGTTCAGCATAGCAAACATGGCCTAAGAAAATTAAACTCACGGCAGAGTGTAGGGAGTTCGGAGCTTTTCAGTACACGTAATCTCTTCACACTTGATACGAACATGCTGCCAAGATCATTAAGAAAACAGATTAGAAGTTGGAAATGTACAATAAAGTTCTGAGAACTCGACTGATACGAACTAGAAATACGAAAGGAGATACTGGTGGACAATATTATAGCAAGATAAATGTATAGTACAAGACACTTCAAGATTTAGGGATTTAGGATTCAGAAAAGACTAAGCCAAGGGGAAGAATGATATCAGGATCATCTCCAGAGAGATATGACGCTTACTGCCAAGGAACATCCCCAATAAGAAGCCTGTCCCCTTCATTATCTTCATAAACTAAGGTATATTCTCCACTTCCATCCAATAAACCTGTAATCGCTTTCCCTCCATCTTCCTCGTTCTTGATTCCACCAGTCGAAAAGTTGCTTTGAGCTACACATATAAACGGAAAACAAAGTCGAGCAATCAAATATCTTTCAGACTAGATTACACCAAATCTTTTGGCCATTCCATATAAGTGAAATGGTTGGTTATAAGCAGTCTATAGACAAATCAGCAATCTGACCATCTCAATTAACTATATTATGATTGAATCATCGGGGAAAAAAATATAATTTATGCATGGAAAACCTGCAAGAAGGCCTCTAAAGAGTTCATCAACAGCAGAGGAGAGCTTTTCATAACTGTCATGTTCTTTAAGATCGACTTTTCTTCCTATGGGAACTCCATCCATGTTGATCTTCACAAGCAAACTTTTAGGGGAATTTTCGGTAGCTTTTTCACTGGAAATTTTGCTGCCAACCACATTCTGCGACTCTGAGCCGGGTTTAGAAGAACTGCCACTTGCGAGATTCTTTCTAAACGAACGTATAGGAGGCCATCCGACTACCGGTGCAGGAGCAGTTCTGTTGCTCGCCAACAGAAAATAACTTTAGTATGGAGAAACTAAACTCATTTAGCTTCATCAACGTCATAAATAAAATAGCCTTGTTCCTAATATATTTAGAGTCCACTACATGAATCCTTTGCTCGTTCATTGATAAAAATCAATTTACAGAAAACAGAGGGTGACTTGGCCTATATACAATTCATGATGGAATGTATATAAAACTCTACCCACAAAAACACAGCTCAGATAAAACACTTGACAGGTTAATACAGGAAAAAAAGAGGATTACAAGGATCAAGGACAATTATAAATATTATGCTGATGATATAAAAAGGGCACCTAATATCAAGAAACAGATTAGCATGAATATTAAATAGAGAAGAAGTTTAAAATTTTAGTAATAAATAGATCAGGATAGAGATTAAAGAAAATGAAAATGAAACGCATGGTCCACAACATAGGAGTAAAAAAAACAGTGAATATAACTCTGTTCACAAGAAAAAAAACAATCAAAAGAGGTAAAGAAAAGCTGAGGCACCTTTTCTGAGCACTGCTGCTGTTAGGCACAGCTGTATTAGCTGCTGAAAATGTCTTCTTTTCTGCTCTAGTACAATTGGGCTGTGAGGATTCCTTCAGCTGGCCATGTGCTTGAAGAAACGGCGTCGTTTGCTGCTGAGAATTCACTTGGTAGCCTGAAGAAGATGACCGTGGAGAGAAATATCTAACAGTGTCGTTATTTTTTATGGTCCAGTCTCCATTTGGTGGACCAAGNCCATTTTTTCACAATAAAATTAAACTAAAAGGAACTTTTTTTCAAGAATTTCAGCTCAGTGATGACATATGTAGCACGGAGTTTTGCTGCAAAAGAGGAAAAAATTGTATACATGTATTAAGACCTTCGATCAATCTCAGATTACAACGCTTAAACTAACTTTTAGACAAGCTGATGGAAGAGGTGGAACACAAAAGAAGGGAATTGTAAAGATAAAGGAAAGTCTTGGAAAACCACCAGAGAGAGAACAGAAATAAAGAAACCCCGGAAACGAACCCCACTAAAACAAAGAAAATCTCAAAGAGAAAAGCAGAGGTATGAGAACTTATAAGCTATTTATGGCTTCTAGATTGTATTCTATCTTTTTCTTTTATGGCTTTCTTTTAGCACGCTTAGAACGAGAATAGTATCTCTCTTTCTCTCTCTAACAATCATATAAACACACACAGGAGCAGAACCAGAGAGGTAATTTTCACCCAAAGGACCCTCAAAACAGGAACCGAAATTGGAGAACAATGCACGCAACCACACGCCTCCCCAAAGTAATACTGTTGTTCAGCTCAAGAAGTAAAGCACGCTGACCACTCTCTCTCTAGAAAATACAGATATACATACAGTGAGAGAGAATGTGTGTCTCTATTATACATATATTTGCCTACATCTGTGGCCATAATTAGGAACACACTCCCCTAAAAGGCTAAAAACATCCCCCTTCGCTCAAAGTGCGTCTATGCTAAGAGACCTAAAGCTAGGCTAAGATTATAAAGAATGGTTCAGTGAGTAGCTTGTACCAGTGAAATTCCTTAAAGAGTCTATTTGTGAATGATTTTGAGAATTGATTTTTTGATCGTTAGAAAAAAAGTGGAGTTTACTTGTGAGAGAAGAAGTGAAATATGACGACTGAAATAGTAAAATAACGATAAAAAAAATTAATTTTTTGGGCCAAAAAATCACTCACAAACAGACTGTTAATTACATTTGGTTAATTAAGATTCATATAGTCTATTTGGAAATATTATTAGGAGTGAAAAATAATTTCTTTTTAAAAATGTGGGACTAAAACATGAGAAAAAAATTATAGATCCACGCGTAGAATTATTCTATAAAGAGAGTGTGCGATTAAAAATGAATTTGATGAAAAATAATTTTTAAAAAAATGTCAAACAAACATTGGAAAAAGTGGAACTTGGACTCAAGGGTCATAAGTTATAAAGTTGATTTTCGCTAATTGTTATTGAAGTTCAAGTGAAATTTTGAATCTGATGTTAATGTACTTTTTGATTCATTTAGTTAAATAATATTAAATGATTAGCAACATCATCGACTCGAGATTTGATGTCAGCATACTCGTGTCCATGTCTTGAAATTATGGATATTCAAAATAAACGCCGAAAAGTCATAAATTGCTCATCTTAACGCTGGTTCCAATTTTCATCATTAATAATAATAAGCAGAAAAAGGTCAACAAAAGGAACAGATTGCTTCAACTGCCCTTGGTTCACATGAATGTTTAACGTCTAATACACTTGATAGATAGTGCTAATCAAGTTATACTTTAATGATCAATTTGCAATTTTGCTTCAACTCCGGTGACCATCAATAAATATTAAACTTATAACCCATACGGTTATATTATTTAATAAACGTATAGTTTAAATTGATAGTCAAAAGTTTGACTTATTTTCTTGAAATTATGTTCAAACTGCTTCTTTTCTAAAATAAATAATCATCGTAAGCTTCTAATTTTCATGTATTCACGAGCCTTCACCTGTCCACAATTCATGCATTTCTGTCCTTTGGGACATGATCCAGTGGTGTAAATGACGGGAGTGAAGTAGTTTCAGTTTTGCTGGTAGCCGCAGTGTGAGGGTTTGGTTCTTGAGACGTGAAATTGAACTCTTTGTGGGCACCAGTATACGGGCAAACTTTTGTTCCCTGACCTGTTATGGCACATCTCGCAATTTACTTCCCTCACGATGCTCCAGAGGCGGGACGGTGAGGGCCTTCAAAGTTGGGATTCAACCTTTTTTTTTTCCATGCATCTCACGAATGGGGCTAGAGCAAAGATATGAAATGGACGCTTCCTTGGTAACACCCAATACAGAATATGCTACCATTAAACGATCTTTGCTCAATTGGAGTAATCAAGATTCGGGTCATTGAACATTGCAACAATATGATAATATGACTATAATGCCCTTGGATGAATCTAGAAGTTATGTAGTGCACAGGGGCAGCCTAGCAAAAACTATTTTAGTCCAATTGGTAGGTTTTGTTGTTTCCTTAAATGTCAAACAAACCAATGGGAGCACCCTAAAATGTGCCAAAAACCGGATTAACAGACCTAATTGATTATCGCACTACACAATCTCTACTAAAAGTCAAAATAAATTAAATTTTTTACACGTGTGGATGTCATTCTACGTTAGTAATGTTGACGATCACTGTAGCTCGTAGCTAGTTTATGTCAATGAGGTTGGTTTGTGTCTCCATCAATCAAGTGTACACTTTTTTTTTTTTTTTTTTTTTTTTTTTTTTTTTTCTTTTTTTTTTTTTTTTTTTTTTTTTTTATCGTTTATTTTCTTTAGTTTTTGTTAGAATCTGCCCATAGTTTGTAGCTCGATTAACATAAAAAGGTCCATTTGTTTATCAGTGATAATTAGATATCGTGATTGTTTATGTTTCTTTATAATTTTTTGAGTGGTAGAATATCGTAATAATTGTGAATTTCATAAAATATTTGATTTTAATTTAACTGGAGCCAACAACGCAATTCAATTCAAGAAAAGGTTAATTTCGGTCCCCCGGTTATAATTTAATGGTGTAAAGAATAGGAATGAGGATATCTCATACCTTGTTGGCAGTCACAGTGTGGGGGGTTCGATTCCTGAAATATGGAATTGAACTTCTTATAGGCGCAGTGTACAATCAACTTTTGTTCCTTGACCTGTTGAGGCACATCTCACAATTTATCTTCCTTACAAAATTCTAAATATGGGACGATGAGATCTTCAAGATTGGGGTTCAACCTTTAAGAGAAAAGGTTAATTTCGGGATTTGCGGACAGCTCGGGTTGGATACTGGGAGACGCCAACCCCTTACAATCTGACTTTAGCCCCGTAGTTTGTCACACGTGTTAGTATCATAAGTGGTTGCTTTTGATGTGGGTCCTTTTAGCTTGTGCCAGCGCGTGGAAGGCATGTGATTCTTTCTTGTGCTTTTGGCCTCCGACCACCCAGCACTCGATTGCGAAGTCGGCGAATTAATACCCACCGGCGATAGTGACGCGTGAAGTGAGTGTAGTTGAAATCTTTAGGCTTTTTTGAACCGTCAAAATCGAAAATCGCGGTTAATCGAACCGAATGGGACCAAAAAAATCGAACCGATGGTGCAATGGGACGGATATGATTTTTATTTTAATGAACCGGTTCTTGACGGTGCGGGTATGATATTTACGTCGTCGAACCGAAATCGAATCGATTACCCGCTAAAAAAAATTGAATTGATTATTAGGTTTTACGCTACTTTTCTATCTAACCCAAAACAAAATCTCCCTCCCCCCAATTACATCTACATGACTCAGCCGGCCAACCCACTTATCATTTGCTTATAACAATAATATTAGTATGACATTATATAAATGCAAACCCTACACTCCACAAACCACAAACTCACGCACGGCTCTTTTTATTGTTAATTTTTTTTATTGTGTGTAGAAAATTCTACTTCTTCATCATATTTTAGAGCTTGTGCAACGTTCAAAGAGAAAAAAGCTGACAAAGAAGTATATTTTTTTATTTAAATTTTAGTTAAAACCATTCTAGAATAGGTAATATCGTTGTATTCTCTACTTACATTTCTTATTTACTATATAGGAATCAATTTTGAGTGTTGATATATGCTAGTAAGATTTGTGGGGAAGAATGAATCAATTAATTTCGATGCACAATAATGAATGAAGGAAAAGTTTAGTATTGTTATATTTATAATATTGTTTGTTAAATTTATATTTTACAATTGAAAATTGGGATAATGTTTGTATTTTCGTTTAAAATATTGTGTTTTTGTTTTCATTGACTTTTTTCATAAATTGTTTTATATCAATTTGATGGATGAACTTATAAAAAATAATTTATTTTCATGGTTATTAACCGAACAGAATCGTGTTGAACCGAGATAATAATCGAACCGATTTACGTAATTATGGTGCGGTTATGGTATGGTCAAAAAATTGGTGGTGCGGTTATGGTTTTTGCCGAACCGACCCATAACCGAACCGTTGTCAACCCTAGCTTTTCTTTTCCTCTTTGGGTAAATTTCACCAGTGGTCACTAAAGTTCCATCAAAATCTCAATTAATCATTATACTTTAGCTTTGTCACAATAATTTATTTCACAATTTCGTCACTTGTTCTCTCAAATAAATGGAACTTACTTAGTTAACATTCTTTTACGACGAATCTTCTTTAGTAATCACTACTAGCACACCGATTTATTAATACGTCATGTCATTTAAGTGTTAAAATTTTAAAAAATAGACGCCATTTATCCTTTTTATTTTAAAGAAATTTTCATAACATTGATGTAATCATTTTCATTTCTAGGATGTCAAGCAGTTGCTGCATGAAAGATAAGTTGTGGTTTAACTATCAATTAAATAATTTTCGCTAGTTTAAAAAATGGTAAGTTATAAATTAATAAATTTTGAAATTATTTCAATTGAGTAATCACTTTCTAATTAATTTTAAACAGGTAACTACAAATATATATATTTTTCAATTAAAGTAATTTTATCATCATAAGAATGCTTAGTTGATTACGTGCAATAAGTAGAACTTTAGTGAAATAAATATTAGCCATCATGTCATCGATTCCCAGAATTGATCCTTGTCGGTCCAATTAATGGAATTGAATAAGGTTATTCGATTGAAATCAAATTAAAGTATAGTTATTCAATTAAATAAATTTAAAATGCGTTCACTTAATTGATATTAAATAAAATATAATTGCTACGAACGAAATTAGTTGTCTGTACAACGAAGAGACTCGTGGATCTAATTTCGAAGAGGTCGAAGCTCTACAGACCTTAAAAAAATATAATTGTCATCTAATCTAAATAATATTTTGAAAAGAAGGATGAGGAGCTCAAATGTTTTTGCCCTTATTGTCATGTTGGAGTGGTCACGCGCTCACTAGTTTTATTTTAGTGTTGAATTCGATACTTCGCAGTACAAAGTAGCATAAATATCTAAAGTGATCCACGTTGTATATATAACAGTTCATCGCAAATGGAGATGGGGACAAATCGAACGGCCGTAAATCAATTCCTCTTTTTAAATTCTTTTTCTTTTTTATTTTAAAATAGGGACGTGGGAGGCAACTCGTGATCTT